TTAGTCCAATCCGAGACAGCTGAAAACGCAAAAGCATCATCTAGGCTGAAAGGTGGCAGAACCTGGTCTGAGCTTCCAGCTGACTCAACGTCAAGGAGTGCTGGGGGAAAGACGCCAGGAGCAATTAAAAGGCTCCAGGAGTCTCCTGCTCTTAGTTCCAGCTGCTTTCAGATCAGGAGATACTGATGAAAAACAGTTCCATCTTCAGCATCTACCACCATCCGCACCTTTAAAGACCTAGCCTTCATGGAGAAAGAGCCCATCATGTGTGAATTTCCTGTTTTGTGCTCCTCACAGATCTCTCTTCACCTTTTCTCACATATCTCGTCATTTCCTACTGTAAATGTTTGGATTCAGTGAATTTTGAATGGTTCCAACAGTTCCTCTCCCCCTTTCCAACGTTAATCTCCTCTGAGTCCTAAATATATTCTTAATTTCTGTTTCGCATAAGGTACTGTTTGTGCGTGCTTAGTCAGTCAGTCACGTCCGGCTCTGTGACCTGCTGAATTGTAGCCCGCCAGGCTCCTCTGTCCACAGGATTCTCTGGGTCAAGATCCCAGAGGACCTTTATTTATCCGCTCCCTTGCATCTTCAGTATTTCCTTTTGTGCTTTCTCCTAATCCTACATTCACCCCTCCCACATTCTATACCCCAACCTAAGCAAACAATCCTATCCCCTTCATCTCCAAACTGACTCAGAAGAGTCAACACTTTCTTAGTTGCTATTCATTCTTTGACCCAATTCAATTTAACCTGGGACCTCTCTTTTGCTCTGACAGAAAACGCTCTTGCAAAGATTAGCAGTGATTTAATTGCCAAGTTCAGAAGCTTCTTTCCAATTCACCCTCTTAAACTGGACAGAGTTGGTCACCACCTCTTTGCGGGGAGGGGTGGTTCTCCCACCACACTATTTTACATCACTCACCTTTTTGAGCTTCTCTTCTGTTCCAACGCTGCACTGGACTATTTTCCTGATTTCCCTCATCTGTCCTCATGTCCAGATCTTCAAACATGATATAATACACACACGAGTGTGTCTCGGTGTGCCTGTTTCATTTCCACTCCACACCCCAATGCTGAGTTCTAGTTCTATACAAGGTCTCAGGGACTTCACTGGTGGGTGGGCCAGTGGTTAGGATGCCACACTTCCACTGCAGGGGGCACAGGCTCAATTCTTAATGGGAGAACTAGGACCCTACACGGTGCTTTGTCAAGGCCAAAAAAGGGAAAAATTTTAAAACAGGGTCTGCTGGGTAAGCTCAAACCAGGCGAAACGTAGTCAAAATTGAAATCATCTTGCTCTCCCCCTACCACTCCACTCTTCTTCCGACCCTTTCTCAGTTAATGGCATCAATAAACACTCAGGCCAAGGGAAAAAAAAAAAGATCACACATGCCTTCTTCCTCTCTCAACCATCTCCTTACCATGGACTTGGCTTTGTCTCTCACACCTATCCCAGCCCACCTTCCCCACGCTGAGGGTCACAGCTGAAGGTGCGGCGTGCTTCCTTCCTTAGAGTTCACAGGCCTCCTGGCCTTGGTGCTCATCACCTTTCATAACCATCTAAAAGTTGCCTTTAAGCGTTTTCCTGCTTTAAATAACCCCTTGAAAGGTATCTCACTATTCAAATAAGTTCAACCCTTCGGAGGGCATGTAAACTTCAGTTTTGGTCCACCACTTCACAACATTTTCAGTGTCCTCTCTACCTACCATGTTTTCCAGCCACAATGAACGTGTTTATGTCTGGAATGTATTTTCACATGTCAGTTACAGGCGTGTGCGTAATCCCTTTTGGATACTCATCCTTCAGTAGATTCCCTCCTCTGGAAGCAACGCCTTGATGCTTTCTGGCAGAACAAATGCTCTAAACCAGCAGTCCCCAAGCTTTTTTGGCACCAGGATTGGTTTCGTGAAAGAGAGTTTTTCTGAGGGCCAGGGGTGGGAGGGGGGATGGTTTCGGGATGATTCAAGCGCATTACATTCATTGCGCACTTTCTCTTATTATGACATCGGCTCCACCTCAGATCATCATCAGGCATGAGATCCCAGAGGTTGGGGACCCCTGCTCTAAACGTATAGCCCCGTCGTACCTCATACATGATAAATGATTATATCGTGTGATGGCTGTCTCCCCAACCCCAGAGGAGCAGTCCCAGGAGGGCAGGGACGTCATCGACTCCTATGTGCCGGCACACTGGCAGGTCCTCTAGGATCTGAGCAACTCAATGGAAAATGTGTATGTAGACGGGTATTCCCCTCAACTCCCAGGCAACACACGGGACATAAAATCATATACTGACAGAAAGAGTTTTGTGATAGCTTTAATAGCACAAAATGTTTGTTGCTACAAGTTATACATGGATTGTAAACTGTATATAATGATACAAAGTGCTAACTAAATAGATGAGGAATGCATAATCACTTTGGCTCAGTTAAGTCCGATAATTTCAACAACTGGTTCACTTGAAGATTCATCTGACTGGCTAAATCTTCAGTTTTCATTGTTTAGAAGAGTCAATGTTTTTACTGCAATCAGAATAACTTGCTGCACTCGTCAATGTGCAAGTTTGTGCAGTTTTGCTCTTGATTATATTTACAAATATCTTACGCCAGTTTTCATCAAACATAGGAAAAGGAAGCCTGCCTTTTTGTCCCCAAATTGTGAACAGGCATAACGCTTTTTAAACGATCTTAAAACATGTCAACTGTTCATTGTCCAATTCTCCTTTCCAATCACACAATCTGGCTCCAATCAAAACAAATCTGGGGAGGAGCATAAACATTTATCCCACACATTAAGATTATTGATAAATACTGCATGATTTCATCTTATGATTAAGTTCTACTGTGATCGTGTATTCATGTTCTAAGTAATAGTCCAAAATTTCACAGCTATTTGAAGAAAAGGGGCAGAGCTACATTTATTTTCAATGTTGGAAAACAAACAAAACAAAAAACCCCCACAAATGTACTCAATCACACTCCTGATAGGATTACTATTGAATTTCAAAAGAGAGTCCTGTGTTGTCTGTATAAACTTGCTTTCCTCTAATTTTACTTTTCCCTCCCATGATACTCAATGTAATACAAACTGTGTATCAGAACAGTTTAGCTCTTTAGTTCGGTTAAGTTTACCGGCCTTTCCAATTTTATTCAAGGCTTTTCAAAGTCAAACAAGCCAGCAGATGTACTTTCTTCCCAAAGAAAAATGAAGACTTGAAATAAATAGGTTACAGAAGGCAAATCAGGTGTTATTAATTTGTGAATAAGACATGGAAACAAGGCCTAATAAACAGACGGCCGAGACTGATCAGACAACAAAAACTAGAAAGAAAACGCCAAAGAATTCAGAAGACTACCTGGATACACCGTCTTCCTTAAAGATATCCAGATGTATTCTTGAATAAAGAGATCAGAAACTTTTTTTTTGTTTGTTTAAGCTATATGTTATTTTCCACTATAACACGTCAACTTTACAAAACTTGATGTGAGAGAGAAGACAGTTTCTGCAAACTAGCAAACCTGATGGTTCAGAGTGCTTTTGTTCAAGTCAACCTGGTTTCCCTATGGTTCTCTAAATATTCAATGTCTATACTATAAACAGTAATTATTTATATATGACACATATAACAGCATCCCTTCAGAGTCATGCTGTGTGTTCAGAGAGCCAATAAACCTCCTTGAAATAAATGGTAACTGATGCTTTCTAACAATTTGGTCCTAAAGCTTCACATCTGAGAAATGAACACAGAAGTGTATCATGAGAGGAAGTTGTTGAGTGTTCTGGGACTTGTGGAGCTCGAACGGAACTGGAAAGATGGCTACGGGAGGAGGAAGTGGCCGGCGCCTGTGGACTCACAGGGATCGGTCAGGCAGGCTGTGTGGTACCCACGAGAAAGGGAGTGAGCAGGAGAAAACCAATGGCTTCTCTTCAGAGCTCTGTCAACTGTTCCCACAACCCAGGTCTGGTTTTCCAAGTTTCCCAAGAGCTTGAAATAACTCTGAGACAACTGTCTTCAGAGCTGAAAGGCTTCAGAGTGTAAGTGATGCTTCCTAAAACAAGAAGCCTGTATTTATACCACAAATTGGAACTCATTCCAAAGCCTCTTAGGAAAAAATTAAAAAGGAAAGAAAATTCCAAGTCGTGAAAAATTCACATGCAGCTAATAAACATAAAAATACCACACACACACACACACGCACAAACCCCCAAAGCAATTTCATAGATTTCTAGGCCTGAGACATTCCTTACCAGAAATAAAGATTCTACACTATAGAAAAGACAGCATTATAACCTACTAGTATTAAAATCTGCTAATGTATTCTAGTTCTTGTACTTTATACCTATCATTTATGTAGCCTGCCTACAACAAATTAAAATGGCGCCATTAAGAGGCTTAGACAAAGAGTGGCTCCAAAGCTGGTTTAAAATAACTTTTTATTGCCCAGGATATTTTTTTCCCTTGTGTTGTATTTTGTCTGTTTTATTTGTTTTTGTTTTCTTTTTTCATAACTATAAATTCAAGCTTAGGGAAGCTTGCCTTTGTCTTGGAAAACAAAACAACAAAGCTTTCATATCATTTGTAACCTGGTCTCATCTGAAGAGACAGGTGGGGTTATCTTGCAAGAGGAAGATTTATACCATGAATGGTGCAGGCCTAGATCTGGTGGTACTGAGAGAAGACAATGGCATTCTTGACAAAATTACAATCTGCTGGTGGCGTTTGCGGAAAAGAAGCCCTTGCAAATTTCTAAACGACAGTAAACTCTTATTAGGAAATTCTAAAGTGTTTTACAGGCCAAAAGGGGAATGAGGTTATTAGTAAAATGCCTCAACAGAGTTGGAATAAAATACTGGATTTGAGAGTTACTGGAACTTGGATATGTAAAAAGAGGGTGGAGGTTGGGTCATGCTTACAATGGTCTCAAGTTCAAATAAACTACTGTGACAAGACACCACTTCACAAGTCACACGCTGGCCCAGGGACTCTTCTCTTCCCTTAGTAGGTGCTGGCAGAAGGCGTGCTCAGTCGTTTTCCAATGTAGATGCTGAAAGGGAAACAGAGTGTGCGTGTTTCATCTGTTTCAACAGCTCTGTACCGACCTGGCCACAGACTGAACTGTTCAAAGGAACGTCTTCAGCCGTTTGCAAAAAAAGGGCTCTCTAAGAGGTCTACGTGCACGGTTCCCTGACACCCTGAAATCATTACTGACTTACCTGAAGCCAGTCACCAGCCAGCTAAACTGGTTTTATGTGGTTGTGTTTACTCGTGGGGCAGGACTGGACAGCACAGGGCAGTGATTAGGCAGTCAAGCCAGGGAGAACAGATGCTTCTGATGAGACAAGCAGAGCCAGGCTCCTCTGAGGTGGTCTGCTGTGGTGCACAAAAAATTCTACCGATATTTAAGCTAAAAAATACAGCAATATACCTAATTACAAAGCTGCCCGTGCTTTAAAATATTCTAACAGCTTAATTCTTTTTTAAAATACTGTTTCATGATTCTTTTCTTCTCTTTAAATTTATTTACTTCTAATTGCAGGTTAATTACTTTACAATATTGTGGTGGTTTCTGTCATACATCAACATGAATCAGCCATTGGTAACGCATGCTCCCTGCTTCTTGAACCCCCGCTCCCACTCTCACCCCATCTAGGCAGTCACAGAGTGCCGGGTTTGAGCTCCCTGAATCATACAGCAAATTCCCACTGGCTACTGGTTTTTCCATATGGTAATGTCTATTCCCATGTTACTCTCTCCATTCGGCTCAGCCCTCCCTTCCCCTGCAGTATACCAGCTTAACTCTTAAGGGCCTTGTATCACTTTCCCACACCAAGCAGCGGTTTTACCCTTATAGAACTGAAGCAGAAGTGAAGGCAAGGGAAAATAGAACCAGCCCACACCCAAGTGTAATGAAACTGTCATTTTTTTCTACATTTATTTTAACTGTGCTGGGTCTCAGTTGCAGCTTGTGGCATCTTCCTTGCAGCATGCTGACTTTTTAGAGATGGCATGCATGTGGGCTATCTAGTTTCCCAACTGGGGACCAAACCCAGGTCCCTGCATTGGAAGCTTAGAGTTCTACACACAGGACGCCCAGGGGTGTCCCCCAATAATACTTTTCAAAATCCTTTTTTTCTCCATCTGATTATATCAATAGTTACACCAGCAAAAGAAACAGTCCAAAGATTCATAAAAGCAAGATAATTCAAGGTACAAAAGCCAGCCAACCTTCTGAGGGCAAATGAACTGCTGTGCAGTCAACTCTGGGGTTGGGGGGGGGGGGGGCGGGGAGCCTGAGCTCTGAGCCTGCCCCCACACCAACCACACACAACTTTTACACACTCCCTGTTCTGCTGCGTGCTGAGGCTGTCCTCACCCTCATGGAAGCAGGCACCCAGAAAGATGGAAGAGGTGTGTGAGACAGCCAGGTGTGTTTCCAAGTTACATCTCTCCCACAGGCTGAGCTCCTCATAGGGAAGTTAAAAAATGTGTATCTTCTGTGCATTCTACACAGAAAATGACCCACTGGGCATGCTCAAAGAGAAGGCCAGATACATCCTGAATATAAGTAAAAGCAAGTGCCTAACTCCTAAAATACAGGGTTGGCCAGAAAGTCTGTTTGGGTTTTGTTCACAAGATGTTACGTTAAGAACAAACTTTCTGGCCAACTCAGTATTTAAAAAATATATTTCCTCAATTGTTCAAATTAAAAACAAAAACAAAAAGAATAAAGAATTTAAAAGACATGCCAGAAAAATGAACGAATTATAGGTAAATGTGCAGTTTTAGAAGAATTTAAAAAAAAAAGACTGTAAGAAGAAAAGAATCGAACTAACAGTATCAACCAATTTTCCAGTTTCACTCAAGGACTATTCAAGAAAAGTGTGCTTTCCCACCTAGGAAAAAGAAATATGCACACCAACCCCAGCTTTACACACTCAAGGTTCATCTACTTTCAAACTCAGCTGATTCTGAGTAATTTATAGACAACAGCAACAAAACCCAAAAAGAAAAATTAAATACAAAAGAGTTCACTTAAAAAAATGATCATTTAGGGGATTAAATCATAGAAACAACTTGCTTTCAAATGAGGGGAAAAAACTCTACTATTACAAACCCCTGTTGGGACACGTGTACCCCGCTTTTCGAAAGTTTGGTTTCCACCACTTCACTACAGAAGTTAGACCTACATTAGTACCTGTTTTTGTTCACTGAAAGAAATCTGAAGAGGAGTTTCACTTATATTAAAAAAAAAAATGCAAACGTGAAAATACCACTCAGGACTGGTTTTGAAGAGAGCTGTTAGGGAGACAGGGCACCCCATGCAGTGAGAATTGACCTGTCAAGCAAGCTCCTTCCTAGGGACCACACTCAGCATCTCAGCACCCAGCCTCCAGAGATTTGAACCGAGTCTGTGAGCATCTGTGCTTTATCTCAAGGCATCTTGCACCCGCTAGCAAGACGTGTCCTCAGGTGACCGCTGCTTCAGCTTATACCGTTTCAGCTTACGGAAGGTTTCCTAGAAACATTCTACTTTCAGAGAGTGGGGAAGGGTGGGGAGAACATGTGTATCAATAGTGTATCAATTCATTCTTTTAAGTTCACTCCACTTGTGCTAACATATGAAAAGGAAAACAACACACACTGCTTTCACATGTATTCCTTACATCCTGAAAACAATTTCTGTGCAGAAAATGAATGGAAAAAACTTCAGCCATTGACCAGTACTTACCCTAGCCCCAAGGCCAAAACATGGGAGAGGAAGAGAGATGGAATGAACACCTTAAGAAACTCTGCGGAGAAGATGCCCCCTTTCTTCATGGCTCCACTTTTCCTCATGCTTAAGGAGACGGAACGTTTAGGGTGCCTGAAGTGGAACTCCCTGGGGGAAGAAACGCAGAGGGGATAAATGTATCTCAGGTGCTAGCGGGCCCACACCACTACACTGTGCCCACTGAAAAGGGACATGGACCGACTTACTTAGGTGGAATGTTTTCAGGTCTACTGGACCAGTCGGACACCCAGTCTACGCTTTTCTTCAGAGCATCCACTTCTTTTTCTCCTTCTGCAACTTCTTCTTCTGACTGTAGAGGAGAACGCACACTTTAAAAAAGGAGAAAAGGAAGATAGAGCCTTCCTACAACAGAAGACAAATATGGACAGAAAATACACAAGAATCATAAACTTGGGCATCAGTAATTTTTATGTAAGCAACATGCCATGTTTCTAAAAAGGCTGATAAAATAATCTAAGATCAGAGTATTTAATATCTTAAAAAAAAAACCCAAAAAACCTTGAGTGAGTTTCACTGTGGTTATATAAACATAAAATGAACCTGAAACTTGAATTATATCTCAATTTAAGAAAAAGAATATGAATATGAAAAAAGGGTACATTAGGACATAATGTTAACTGAAGTGTGGAAAGCATTGATAATTGTTGAATGTAAGTGACACGTGTATGGATGGCCATCATAACAGGCTCTATGTACTTTTGTATGCATTCAAAAATGTTCATAATTAAAAACTAAAAGGAACATATCAAAAAGTATATGCTAACAAATAGAAAAGAAAAAAACTGGGAGAGGTGCTGCAGAAACAAATAATTTAAAATAAATAGTATTTATTAAGCACTTACCAAGAGATAAGTATCGATCTAAGCACTTTCCATGTACTAACCTCTACTTAAAACAACCGTATTAAAAAAAAGGAACTATTACTATTCCATTTTCCATATGAGGCAACTGAGACATAAATAACCACCTAAGACTGTATGAGTAGTAAGTAGCAGGGCCGTATCCAAACCCAGGCAAACTGTCTCTAGAGCCTAGGATTAGGTTTTGTTTTATTCCCTGGAAGGAGATTATAGTTTTTAAAGAAACTGCTATCCAAATATTTCCCAAAGTTTATTCAAAACTGGTGGCACTACCGGTAAAGAATCTGCCTGCCAATGAGGGGGCACAGGAGACGCTGGTTCAATCCCTGGGTCGGGAAGATCCCCTGGAGAAGGAAACGAAAACCTACTCCAGTATCCTGGCCTGGAAAACTCCATGGACAGAGGAGCCTGGCAGGCTACAGTCCATGAGGTCACAAAGAGTTGGACATGACTGAACAACTGAACAACAAACTACATAAGCCAAAAGTTTTAAAAAGTAATTTATTTAATACTGAGTAAGAATCTGACCTCTTTCATATCAAATCTTTTTCTTGCTAATGAGAACCTAAACTTTTGGCCTAAGAAAAATCAAAATTTCCAATAGCCTCTCTTTCAACAGAACCCACAGGGATGAACATTTCTGAAAAATGACACAGATTTATTTATTCAGTTTTCAGGAATATGAAGCTATGACCCGAAACCAAAGGGTCTCAAATGACCCGAAACCAAAGGATCTCAAAGCTAAGAATTATTTTGATGTTCTTTTGTTTGGGCAGACTTAACTTTTTGACCCAAACTTTCATTCTTTTCAGTAGGTAGTTATGAAAATTCTCTATGAAATAGCTGCCCCAGGAAGGTAACTTCAGAGAATCTCTAGGTACAGATGGCTCCCTTTGCTGTCAAACTGAAATTAAATCCCTGTGGATTTTTGCTACTCTGGTACTATCACTCTTAGTTCCACTGGGCTTGACAAGTTCCACAGAATGACACGATGTAGCCTTTAGGATTAAGCTTGTTCCCACTGGGTTTTGAGATGACTGGGAACCATGAGTTGGCGCTCTGGAGTAAATCTGAAAACACTAAATCAAAAGTGATCAACCGCTACAATTTACTTAGAGATCAGCCTGTCACACAGTATCTCATTCAACACACTGTGGGTCACTTCAGTTTCTAACCTTGGTCTCAATCAACTCTTCTAAAACCACTCAAAGATTTAGATTTAAATTTGTGAATAAGGTAATATTTCATACTTTCCAAAAGAATGAAAATATAATAAGATTTTATGCTAATTTTTAGAGATGATGATTTTCAGACTATGATTTGGAAAAAGAAAAAACAACAAACAAAACCCTGATTAGTTTAGAATGCTGACCTTAAGAATAAGGGCTGTAACCTTTCCTGACTCACTACCCTTTGCTTACTTTTATTAACCTTAAATTTACCAATTTTAGGCTTTGAATTGCCTTCTGATTCTTAGAATTTTAGAATACTGTAAAAATGTACTTCATCTGATGAAGTGAGAGTTGAGAGTCATGCCTTTATCCAAATCAATACCCCTCGCCCCACATCTACATCTATCATGATAGAAGATTCTGATCATCGCAGTGCGTCATCATGTCGAAGTCCCTTACTTTCTAATCGTTTACATTTCCCTTCTCTGGCCCACCCCAAGCTCTCTGAGGCCTCTAAACACGGATATTGAATTCCATCCCACGTACAGATAAACCACAGTTTCACAGGAGAGAAAAGGCAGGCATTTTCAGTGTGTGTTACCTTCCAACCCATGCTGGCCTCTTTGGTCCCCGAAACACATTGAGAATTGCCTCTGAGAGACAATCTGTGGTCTATTTTCTGCTACAAATGTGAGATTCATGAGGACCATCATCCTAAAAGTCCAGTTTGAACAATCTTTCTCCTAAACACGTTACACCCTAGGCTTCCCTGTACCAGGAACGACTTGCCTGACACGTCTCAGTTCATTCTCACAACTTTGTGAGCGCTCCTGAAATCAATCCCATTCATCAACTTACTTTAGTTCAACAGGGGCCACAGGCCCAGACAGCCGGGGTGTCAGCCCTGGCCTATCACCTACTTCCTTGGGGATCTTAGGTAAGTAACTTAATTAAGATAAAGCTTGGTTTTTCCAGTTTATTCATGGGGATACATCACCTCTTTCACTGAACTGAAAATAATGTGGGAAAAACTTTAAAAAATATTCTAATAAATGAGTGTGGAGATTCCTTTAAAAACTGGAAATAGAACTGCCATATGACCCAGCAATCCCACTGCTGGGCATACACACTGAGGAAACCAGAATTGAAAGAGACACATGTACCCCAATGTTCATAGCAGCACTGTTTATAATAGCCAGGACATGGAAGCAACCTAGATGTCTATCAGCTGACGAATGGGTAAGAAAGCTGTGGTACATATATAAACAGAATATTACTCAGCCATTAAAAAGAATGCATTTGAATCAGTTCTAATGGGGTGGGTGAAACTGGAGGCTATTATACAGAGTGAAGTAGGTCAGAAAGGAAAACACCAATACAGTATATTAATGCATACATATGGAATTTTAAAAGATGGTAATGATGACCCTATATACAAGACAGTGAAAGAGACACAGATGTAAAGAACAGACTGTTGGACTCTGTGGGAGAAGGCGAGGGTGGGATGATTTGAGAGAATAGCACTGAAACATGTATATTATCATATGTGAAACAGATCGCCAGTCCAGGTTCAATGCATGAGGCAGGGTGCTCAGGGCTGGTGCACTGGGATGACCCTGAGGGATGGGAGGGGAGGGAGGTGGGAGGCAGGGTCAGGATGGGGAACACATGTACACCCATGGCTGATTCATGTCAATGTATGGCAAAAACCACCACAATATTATAAGGTAATTAGCCTCCAATTAAAATTTTTAAAAAATTCTAATAAATGAGCACCTTTCCTTTGTCTTCCTAAAAAGGCTAAAAACGTCATATATTCTTCATGTGGACAATATAAAAATATTCAATAAGAGCAAGTAACAGGCCTTTGTTAACTGTTTTTAACTGTTTCCTAACCCTAAGCTTCCTTCCCATTTATGAAAAAAATTCATCCTTCTAAACACTAAAATAATTAAATGATCTCTTCTTCAATTAAAAACAAGCAATATAAAAAGTTTTTTGAAAGTGTAAGTAAATTACACCTACTGATTTCTCCCTTACTAAGAGTCCTACTCTGAAGGATATAATATTTTTCTACAGGAGTTAGACTGCTTATCAAAAAACATAACCTGGCTTAAATAGACTGATCTGATTGTTAGCATCACTTACGCAGTGCTTGATGATAACCAGTGTTCTTTTAGGTACTTGTTTCTGAATAGAGATCACACTAGCGATCCTATCACAATCTGACAAGAGACCAAACTCTTTTCTCTCCTGAATTTCACAAATTCCTTTCGAATTCTAGGATGGATGCAGTCAACTCTAGAATTCCACTTAAAATACAATTCTCAGGTAAGCCTAACTGTACACCTGCCACCCCATGAGCCAGGACTGTTCTCTTCTGTGGTTGTCAGTTACCAGGTAGATTATTAGGGGGAAAAGGTATGTGTGGAGGGGGAAGGAGGTCTAATGTCAGATAAGTTTGGGAAGCAGTCAGCTCTCAGTATGGGTGGGTCACACATCCTCGAATATGGAAGCTGACTGCACTACCAGTTTACATAAGGGACTCGATCATCCGTGGACTGGGGTGTCGGGGGTAGTGGTGGTGGTCCTGGGACCAGTCCCCTGAGAATACCGAGGAACGCCTGCACTTGGTGGAAATCAACAGACTTCTTTACTGCATGAATTTCCAGAGTCTTTAATGTGTTTCTCGTGCCCTGGTACACTGGAGAGGGAAGGTGGGTGAACCTGGGAACTGCAGTGTATTTCCCAGATATCTGACTTCAGAACTACCTTATGGAGCCTCCCATCGAGCAAATGTTCCTCAAAATGTTTTTAGGGAACCACTAACTCTAGACTTTCAACTTGTCTGTATAAAAGGCTATATGGATGGAGACACCTAACTCAAGGAAAGACTGAAGCAAACAGCTAATTTCACGTCTCCATCCTGGGATTCCTTAGTACACTTTTTCACCCCCCCCCCATCCCCCATGGAAGCTTCATATAGTCATCTTGTTAGCTACAGCTAACTGCACACAACAAAACTGATGGACAGAGGCGAGCAATTCCACAATCACAGGCAGCCAGCTCCCTGCATGAGTGCCTTGGGGCTACGAGCTTCTCTGCAACATAAAGCTCATTGTAAAATCGTTAGTAGTCAGTCCCCTAGATTTTCGAGGTTTTAGAAAACAGCACAAATGAAGCACAGTCAACATAGGGAGAAAGTGTGCAGCTTCTCAAACAGAAAGAACACTGGGTGGATCCCAGGTAACATGCAAAATATTTCCAGTGCAAAGGGAGCCAGGACACTGCAGAGAGAACCCCACAAAACGGCTTTTGTTATTAGCATTCACTGAAATACTCACTCAACACACATTCTTCAGGTACCTGAGCGTGGGAGGAAAAAAACAATGCTTCCTGTTCTCAGGAATTTGCACTCTGACACTGGGAGGTGATCTGACACTGGGAGGTGATCTGACATGTCAATAAAGTCAAGGGCTGGTTATGAACATTCTACATCATCAACATCCATTACTTATTTATCAAAGGTTTATAATAAAAACCTTTGTAAGCTTTCAATACTATATTCATCTATATTTACAACTGTCAACTCCTAGTGAAACAATATTTAACTTCTTTACCTTAAGGAACTTGGTGTGTTTAATTTAGGAGAGTTTTATCTCTTGCTGCTGAAAATCATTGCAACAGTCACTGACTTGACTTTAGGTGCAAAAAAAGCTTCACACCTGGTTTTACAACAACTTTCATTTATTCTGTGACCTTAAATAAGTCATCAGTCTCAGTTTTCAAATATTTATAAACCTGAGACACTAGCCTGGAATACTGGAATGCTACAGACAAAAGAATTTCCCAGTTCTTTTAGGTGACAGGATCCCAAATTCTGGGTTGTAAAGAAGCACATTCATGACCAAAAGCATTAGGTAAATTTCAACATGAGAGCCTCAGTAAGTTAAAACGGCTTCAAACTATTTTTTATTTTTTCTTCAAACTATTTTTTAAAGTCTTCATATTCTTTACTATATTTTAGCAAACCAGACTTATTTAGGGATTTGCATATTCCTAATTACTGTAAACCACAAAATTAAACACACACATACACACCTGAGAGCTATGGTCCTTGCTCGTGTGCATTTCCACATCAAACATGATCTGCCCATCTTCTTGTGGGGAAGGGCTGGAGGAAAAAGACATTGAGCTGTTAGTTTTCTTTCAATGTGTCAAATAAATCAGCCTCTACTGGATATTAGAAAATTAAAGGTTACAATCGCATCACTTTGAAAAAGCAGCAAATCAGAAAGTATACCATAAAGGTGTGTAATAAAAATTAAAACTGAGCACTCTTACTGTCCAAATGATCTAGAATTTTTCAGTTGTGCTAAATTCCTTTGCAATGATAAATATGCGATGGAAATATCACCCAAAGACAGAAGCCTGTCACATTTTCTTATTTTTACTCTTTTTCCCAATAACGGTAAAAGGATCTTCAAATTCAGAAACTCCAGTTTGGGCTTCTTTTTCTCAACGCTCTCTCATCATTAAATAATTCACCAGTAGTTCTCAAAGTGTGAAAGTAGCTCTTAAACACTCTTTCAGAAGGTCTGTAAGGTTAAAACTGTTTTTACAACACCATTAGGATTTATGTGCCTCTTTCATGCTCATTTGCTCATGACAGGCCAGTGCAATTTTTCAAAGGCTGCATTATACATAATATCATGACAGAGTGAATGCAACAGCACGTGAGAATCCAGCTGTTTTCTATTAAGTCAGATATTAAAGAGATGTGCATAAATATAAAATAATGCCACTATTCTTACAAATTTCTTGGTTATGGAAAACAGTTACTTTCTGTTTAAAAAAGTTACTTACGGTAATGTTTGTTGTTTGGTAAGGTAGGTTTGTTATCATTGACTGAATGAACACATACTGTTTTAATGCTCTCAGTTTTACTTTCTCTACAGTAAATATCAAATCATACAACCCACATAAATAAAAGCCCTCTGGGTCCCTCATAGTTTCACAGGTGTAAATGAGTACTGAGACCAAGAAGTCTGAGAACCACTACTTTACTGATTTTTAGAAATATTAACTCTGAGATATTGCAGAGTGAATTATAAAAGCTTATAACAAGTGATAACCTTTAGCAACTACAAGACGTATTCCAAGAATTACAAACTTTTAGACAAAGATACATGATCATGAGTTGTACTGTATACAACAGGTGAACACAACGTGGTAAGTGCTATTCTGACTGGCATCGATGACTCTTTATGTAACCATAGCGAGTCACTGCATCTTTCACTCACAACCCACCTCCCCACATTTAAACTCAAATGGGCGTGAAGGATGCTCCAGGCTTAACTTGCTCAAAGGAATTGATGATGACTATTAGAGCTGCCAAGAGCATGTGTATGATGGTAATACACAGAGATGCTGGTGAGACTGACTAGAAAGTGAGATCCCCAGAAATGTGTCAGATATTAGGTCTAGGAGTCTTTGACTATTATAACTGACATAAGTGAAGTGAAAATATTAGTCGCTCAGCTGTGTCCGACTGTTTGTGACCCTGAGGACTCTAGCCCACCAGGCTCCTCTGTCCGTGGCATTCTCCATGCAAGAATACTAGAGTACAGTGGGGAGCCATTCCCTTCTTCAGAGGATCTTCCCAACCCAGGGATCGAACCCAGCTCTCTCGCATTGTGGGCAGATTCTTTACCATCTAAGCCACCAGTCCCACAACTGACATAAGAGATTCTACAATGAGGGTAGGAAAAGGGAAAAGCTGGTTCTATATCAAACCACCATATTAACATACTTAGAAAATTTCTGTCTTGAACTGGAGTAGAAATCTCAGGCTATAGCACAGGAACCCAGCAGAACGAGGGCCTCTTATCCTCAATGTACTGTCATTAGGCTGCTAACACTGCTGAACTCAGCCATAGATCGGGCGAGGGGCCAGCCTCACAAAGCCACGATGATGAGGACAAGGGAGCAAACGATCAGTCAAGAACCCCAGAGAAGCACTGCTCTTCTCTACACTCCTCTTACCACGGCAAGCCCAAAGTAAGCTTGCTTAGATTAACACTCAGCGTTTCACTGACTGGCTGAGCCCAACAGCATTATTCTGTTCAGAATAATGTGGTGTGCATTATTATCCTGGCTCATATTAGGATCAGCTAGGGAGCTTTTAAAATTTTCTCCTGTCTGACAACAGGATGAGAATCTCTAGGGACACGGTCTCTGCGCTAGTATTTTTAAAAGCTCCCGGGGTGAATCTAGTATATAGGTTGGAAACTCCGACAAGAGGGTGGAACAGAAAGCAAAACACATGAAGGTTATTTTCCAACAATCGCAGTGACCATCATGTTTGTTTTAGTCGCTAAGTCATGTCTGACTCAGTGTGACCCTATGGACTATAGGCTCCTCTGTCCATGGGATTTCCCAGGCAAGAATACTGGAGTGGGCTGCCATTTCCTTCCCCAAGTGGCAATCATATAGCTACGGGATAATTTTTAAATTAACAATATACATAGGGACTTCCCTGGTGGTCAAGTGGTTAAGAATTCAACTTGCAAAGCAGGGGACGTGGGTTTGGTTCCTGGTCTGGGAACTAAGATCCCCCAAGTTGCAGGGCAACTAAACCTGAGCGCCACAACTACTGAGCCTGTGTGCTCTGGAGTGACCTGATGTAGCCAAATAAATAAAGAAATATTTAAAAATAAATATATAAATATTTTAAAATAAATTTTAAAAAAATACACGTAAGGCTGACTCATTGGAAAAGACCCTGATGCTGGGAAAGATTGAGGGCAGGAGGAGAAGGGGACAACAGAGGATGAGATGGTTGGATGGCATCATTGACCTGATGGACATGGGTTTGGGTGGACTCCGGGAGTTGGTGATGGACAGGGAGGCCTGGCGTGCCGCGGTTCATGCAGTCAGAAAGAGTCAGACACGACTGAGCGACTGGACTGAACTGAACACATAAGTTAACTCTGGAACTAATAGCCAACACTCCTAAAACACTTCTGCCTACAAGAAACAGTTCGTAAGTTTCAAGTATAGACACACTGGCAATTTTGATGACATGAGCTGTAAAGACGTTTTTAAATGTTCACGTGTTAGATATCCCCAGAAAGCATCACTGAGCTAGCATCTGAGGCCTCCTCTGAGGGGTGACTGGTAACCCAGAGCCTGAAGATGAGTCAGTAAGAACAAAAAAGTGTCCAAGAGCACCTACCACACATCAATGAACATGTTTAGAAACCCAACTGGAACATGTTCACAGGAAGATGAATTTGTATTAGATCACAAATATAACTGCAACCCCTGGTGGTCAGAGGTAAAGAACCCACCTGCCAATGCAGGAGACATGTGTCCCATCCCTGGGTCAGAAACATCCCCTGGGGGAGGAGATGGCAACCGACTCCAGTATTCTTGTCTAGAGAATCCCATGAACAGAGGAGCCTGGTGGGCTCCAGTCCACAGGGTCGCACAAGATCAGACATGACTTCTTGGCTAAACACACACATAAATGACACAAGATGGCCAGAAGGGCGGGCAGGGGACCTTCGCTCTGCCCAATGACAGCACCAAGGGAATGGCAGGCTAAAGGACTCGCCAGTTCCCACAATCCAGGGTGCACATTTGAGCATGCAATAAAAGCCTTATCAGCAGGCCCATAACCAGCAGAAGACTTCAGAAGCTCATCAGTGAGTCCCACAACATAAATGCACCGTAATATAAATGTGATTCACAAAAACAGACTTCTGCTGGAGCTCCTATACCTGGCGGCAAGCTGCTCAGAGGCATGCCATTTGCTCGTGACAAGAGCCATCCTGGCTCCTCAGAAGCCCAGGGACATGTGAGCGATGTGATGATGTGCTGGAGGTGAGGGGCGTGCCACTCAGACCAGCCCTTTGTGGCCTCAGTAAAGGCCGTGGGTCACCGTCATGCAGGAACTGTGAATATGATTTAACTCTTGATCCCTCTTTTCTACTTTTTTCTGGTAAGAAACAACAGGTACTATGCACAATTTTTACAAGGTATAAAAACTCTGAAGACCGATGGCCAGCATTGCATCCCCTACAGATAATCACTGTTTACATTTCGAGATGGCTCCTTAATCTATTTCCTGTGTATCTGCATTTTCTATATGGCCAGTGTCAGTGAACTCTCATTAGCCAGATCATCATCCAATACCCGAAAGTGCTAATACTAGAGCTGTCAGCAGTCTAAGAATTGTTTGATATACTGCTAATGTCATTTAATTCCTAGTCCCTCTGGAAAAAAGAGAAGGCTGTACTGAGAAGTAAACTAACAACTCCGTTGCAGTCTCCTCATATATATCTGTACTCTGAACTCCCTCAAAACAAGCAGTCCTTCATTAGAAGAACTACTCTCCCCAAGCCAAATACAGGAAAAAGAGAAAACTTTTGAGCTTTAAGGAAATTCAACAGCCTTCAAAATTAACTATCTTTACAGACCCTGGTTGGTGCTTCCATCAGACAAATACTGGTATAGCTTGAATCAGCTTGTAGTTCCTGCAACTCAGACATTTACTGAGTGGCAACCATATGCCAGCCCATGACTGTCAAGAGTGAAGCTGGAATCCTGCCTCTTAAAGCCTCAAACACTATATAAGGGAGGACAGATCCGTACAAAGGTAACTGTATTCAAGGCAGAAAGACACCTGTGAAAGGACAAAGGAAAATGGGAGAAAGATTAATTCTCTAAGTAAACATTTGTATCACTGCCTGATAAATATCTGAAAATTATACAGTCTAAAGAAGGAAACTAAGGAACAAGTGGCAACTCATGTCCTTGTCAGCTGGCTGGCTGATTTATACACATGCTGCCAAGAAATCGGGAGCTGTATTTCTGTCAAATGAGGATAGAAGCAATTTATTTTGCCTAATGGGAGTTAACATGGCAGCCCACCCGTGTCCGGAACTCCACCAGAACACGGATGTCACTCACCTGTCGCAGTGAGAACTGCCTCTTGAACTGCTCTGTCCGGATTCATGCTGTGCGTCCAGAAGAATCTTCTCCATGTCCCCATTGTGGATGGAGGATGAGGAGGGCACGTGCTCCAGCCCCCCATTCTTCCCATTGCCATTATCATCGCCATTGCTGCCGTTCATGGGGAGCTCCACCCAGGAACCTGTTGGACAAGTCAGATAACTGCCGTCAACCACAGCAAACGGCAGGCTCGAGCGTGCACGCACCATGCGGCCATGGTGAATTCAGATAAGGACTCTGGCTCGCCTGGAACCAGAGGTCCAAGTATTCTCAAGAAAATAAACAAGGAGCAATAAAAGTCGCCAGATCTACACCGCTCTGTTCCTGAAGGTTCTTGTGCAAGCCACTGATGAAGAAGCAGCTGGAACTCTAAAATGAGGAACTTAGAAACGTGTCTTTCGGCCAGTTTTCTGTCTGGTTAAAACTTATCTACAATAAACACTGCAGGAGAACTTTTAGGTTGCTTTTCAGAAAATAAATAGCTACTTTATTACTAGATAGGCTACTTACCTTTAATATTTTAGTTACATATGTATGTATTTTCCATAGTGTGCCTTTATCCAGTTAGTTGTCTAGTCTCCATCTGGCTTAGAAATTTCATAAAGTTTATCTTAGTAGTTAGCAACTGTGCCCTAATTAGTATAAACAACTGAGAAGCTCCTGGAGAGACAACTTTAGCCGATGGTAAACATGTCAATTCCTGTGCGAGTCTGGAGCATAAAAACGAACGCAGCTGGCTCTTTGCTACATCAGGTGAGAATGCGAAAACCTCTAAAAAAGAGCCCTCCCGTCCCACACATCAGCTTCTTCCCTTCTTTTACACCTTGTTCTTTCCACTCCTTCTCCTTCCTCTATGCACTCAACATACCTTGCAAACGGCTTTTCTCTCTTCGCTCCCCCAAGTTCCACCGCCTAGGGTTTTCATGAAGCCAGCCAGTGCGGGGTCAGGGGCGGACTGCGCATGGACATGGAAGGAGGGCGGGGCCACGGGAAAGGGGCGGGGCCCTGGGCGTTTGGCTTTGTCTTGAAAACATGAGTGCGGACTACAAGGAGGTCCTTTAATTTTAGTAAGAATTGACAACAATAGCCAATAAGGGCAACTTCACAACAAAAGGAGAGAGTGGTACATTTTTTCTCATAATTTCCATGCCTTACAACAAATTTTGTTTTAGAAAAGGTAATCATACAAGTTGGTGAAACCGTTCCTGTAAACTCCAAGCAGAAGTGTTGGAGAGAGTTCTGTGGCTCAGTCTCCTACCAGTAAGTCAGAATAACAGGCTCAAACCCTAAACTGCACCCTAAATGAGGTGATGGCTAATGCAGACCCAGAAGTGAACTCAATATCACCGGTCTGCAAAGGAAAAGCTCAAAAGGTAGCCCTGGCTGGAAATCTGACTTTCCCACTTACTGTAACTTCAGCTGCCTCATCTGTAAAACAGAGATGATAACAAAGCACCTTCCTCCCAGCGTTACTGTGCGGACTAAACAGAGAAATACAGGAAAAGTGTCTCGTAAACAGGAGATGCTCGTCTATGCACTAGTTAAGAGTTGATATTTGTAATGTACAGTGTTTGCTCCATAAAAATGAAGTTCCCTAAAAAAAAAAAAAAAATGAAGTTCCCTTTTCCTTCCTTTCCCTCCAAGGCAGTCCCAGTGGCTGTCAGAATCCCATCACCACCACCACGTCTTTGGCACTGTACTGTCAAACAACACAATTGTGAGAAATCTCCCAGGTCTTCTTCTGTCCACACACAAAAATGGACACAGACTGGACAGTACTCAAAATGGATGAACAAATTCCACTAGCAAAGCTAAGAAAGATCTAACATTGAAGGTCATTTAACTAAATGCTTATGCTTGGAGGGCATCTGGAGTGCGTAAGAAATACACTAAAAGCATCCTTAAGTTTACAGCTCTGTCAAAACATTTTCTTTCCTAAAGGCAATCAACCCAGAATATTCACTGGAAGGACTGACGCTGAAGCTCCAACACTTTGGCCACCTGATGCAAAGAGCTGACTCACCGGAAAAGACCCTGATGGTGGGAAAGACTGAATGCAAAAGGAGAAGGGGGCAGCAGAGGATGAGATGGTTGGATGGCATCACTGAGTCATGAATTTGACAAACTCAGAAAGATAGTGGAGGACAGATAGAGGAGCTTGGCGTGCTAGAGTCCACGGGTAGCAAAAGTCGAACATGACTTAGCAGCTGAACAACAACAAGCAAGTATTTTAACTGAAAAGAGTGACAGAGAAAGGTATATGATGAACAAACTGTTTTGTTTTCTACTCCCACTCTTTTCTAGGACTGAAAAAGCCTAATTTATACCAACAGGACCAGTTCTTCTTATTCAGAAGCCCAATGTGACAAATAAACAAAAAGCCAGAGTTGCTCTGGTAGAAGTAGAACGAAGGAACCAGGAGTTCTAGAAGGATCTCTGTGAAAGTCAGTCTTCTCTAAAATATAATTAACATTCACTGGAAGCAGCTGATCGGGAGAAAAAAGGCTGTAACAATATCAGGGTTTGGAGACCTTGCTTTTTTTTGAAGGACTTCCAAACCCGTATGCAAACTCCACTTTCTACATTAATGTATGTAAGTAATCAAGAGTGTAGGAACTGGAGGAGACACACCTAGAAGGCCTTGGTGAAAATGCCCTGCAAATGCATTAATGTGTGTGCGCGCTCAGTTACTCAGTCACGGCCCCCAGGTTCCTCTGCCCACCGGATTCTCCAGGCAGGAAGATTGGAGTGGTTCGCCATGTCCTCCTCCAGGGGATCTTGCATCTCTTCTGTCTCCTGCACTGGTAGACGGGTCATTTACCACTAGTGCCACCTGGGAAGCAACCACCTCTACTTCATGAATATTATCTCAAAGGAAGAAGAAGAAGCCTGTGGCATAAGTCCTGGTACTATCACCAGCATGTATAATATGTTTATAGTCATCATAAACAGCATGATGACTATAGTTAGTAACTGCATTGTGTATCTGAATGAAAAGAGAGTAATTCTTAAAAAGTTTTCACCATAAGAAAAAAAATTTTTTGTAACTCTGTGATGATGAATGTTAACTAGACTTAACTGTAGTGGTCACTTCAGAATAAATAAATAAACTCATTATTTTGTACACACGAAACTCATACAATGTTGTATCTCAGTTACACCTCAATTAAAAACACACACACACACACACACACACACACACACACACACACAGGCAGCCTGGACGGGAGGGGATGTTTGGAGGAGAATACATACATATATATGTATGGATGAGTCCCTTTGCTGTCCATGTGAACCTATCACAATACTGTTAATCAGCTATGCTCAAACATAAAATAAAAAATTAAAAGAATACAGAAGGGCTGCCTGCACACAGTGAGAAAGCAAAACAAAACAAAACACATCCACCTCATAGAGTTGTTGGGAGGATGACAGGAATAATGAAAATGCAGTGCTATGTGTTAGTTACTATTATAGTTCTTCTCATTATCTTTTAAAACACACTTATTACAAAATTAATGCATTCCTTGAAAATGCAAAGAGTACATGAAGGACAAATTCACACCTCTTCCCAACCTCCCATTCCTACTCCTAAAGGAAACTACTTTAAATAATTTCATATACAGACTTCCAGAAAACACTTCATTTTGTGTGTTCTGCTTTTACAAAAAAAAAAAAAAAGGAACTGTATTGCACCTACTTTTCTGTAACTAGTGTTTCTTACCTAACAACTTGATGTTTATCAATGTCAATATATGTTGCTTTACCTTATTCTTTTGCATTGCATCTCATCATAAACATATACCATGCTTTAACCATTATCCAAATGGCAACAGCCAATCATTACCCAAGTGACTGTCTCTTAATATTTTGTTATTACAACCAGGACTTCCGTGAACATTCTGCCAAGAAATCTGCCAATATCCATTAAAAGCCTTAAAAAAGAAGATTGCCATTAACTCTTAATTCTCTTCCAGTAATATCATCTATGAAAATACTCAGTGCAGAGCAAGTCAGACACAGATATCCATTAAATGTTTACATAGTAGCTTTATCTTTTGAGTAAAAAATGAAAAAAGGCAGACTTGTCTTTCTCAATAGATGAACTACACATGCCTTTTTCTCATCACCTACTTCATTCCTGATTTGCAGCCTCAGAATTCCTGCCTGGTCTAAGGTTACCAAGTCCCTTTTTCCTTGGAAAGGAAACAAGGCAAGATATGAGCATTGTGCTGTCCAAGTATTACAAAGTTGAAAGAAAAACCTCAATGAATTCTCTTCCTAATAAATAAGCTTTAAAATTAAAAACTGGAGGCTCTATTATGTTAAAAGACTACTTATAAACTAACCACGGTTCTGTTGCGTCAGGTTGCACATATACACACTACAGGAGCTATTTTCTAGTTGAAGTGTGAGAACTGCTAAGAGGATTCAGAGATGCATGCCTCTACATTGTATAACACAGTTCACTTCGAAGGCTGGTCCAGTAATTGTGATTACATTCATGACTGCATGGTGTGTTTACTCTTTAAAATTTTATAATCACCAGTTCAATCCTCTTGCAAGAAGGGAAGTGGGAAAGTGAGAGAATGTGGGGAGAGAAGGAAAAAGAATTTTTCTCATTCTTTCCCCAATTTTTCAATTCCATGTGCAACTCATTCTAACCCAGGGTAACACATTTCATTATGTCTTATTTTCTTTCCTCAAAACCTTTCTTTTACTTCAAGTACCTGATGCTGGAATCCAGCTGAGAACAGTCACTGACATTTTTCTTTAAAAACAACAACAACAACAAAAAAACGTATTATAAGGCACTTAAGTGTCACGTATCATAGCCTTAAAGGCCTTCTTGCAGTACTGGGGAACCATGTACACCAGAGCTGAAGATGTTTAAAAGATTAAAAAAATAAACAAAAAAAGCCTGTACTGCCTACATGAAACAGTAACAAAAACTAGATTACTACTGTAATTTTCCTCATCTTCCCTACTGAATTTTATAACATAAATGTCAAATATCCTAAAGCAACTTGATAGTTTAAACTAAAAGTAGCAACTGGAAAATATTCTTTTAACTTTGGAAGTAGTTCAGATATTGCTCCACTGCTTTGTAATGAAAGCAAACAGTCCCTCTACACGGAGAAACTTTTTTTAAAAAGTCAGAGAAAGGTTTCATTATTCCAAAAATTTCAGTAATTTGCTATTAAAGCTCCGCTTTGACCCCTGAACTAAAGATAAAATCCCAAGCCACAGATTATCTGTACAATGAGTTCATCTCCTGTTTTTCAGACTTGTGCAACTTTGCCCAACAAAGAACTTCAACTTATCAGCAATTTGGGTAGTATTAGATGCCTGAATAAGTTGTTTTCCAGAGTGTCCAAAAAATCACTTGAAGGAATCAATAAGTCTTCTTGTTTTGTCCAGTCCAGATTTGTATATTGGGCTTAAAAAAAAAAAAAAAGGAGTGAAAGGCAAGAGAGGCGTAATGAAATGCGGCACCATCTAAAAGCTTTTCAATAACATTTCAAAGCAGCTCACCCTAGTTCCAACGAAATACTTTCTATCTAGCAGATTTCCCGAAGCAACAGTTTGATACTACACACACAGGCTGAGTATCCGTGCACTTCCGTAACAGCTAATACAAATGTTATCAGCACCTGATTGGTCAAGGACATCGAAGACCTCAGGGGTCTGTCAGGACAGGGAGGAAAATGGAGTGCAACCCCATTTTTCTGTTACAAGGCCAAAGGTAAAGAAAAATTCCTTTGCTTTCTGTGATGTCAGGGACATATACTAACCAAACAGCTAATGTGTATCACAGAAAAACTGGAGCGCAAACAAGAACCAGTACACTACAAAGAGATCCATAGGCAGCTCACCTCTGTACATTAGGTAGGATAACACAGGGAATAAATAAGAAACACACAAGATCAGGGGATTGTGGGCCACTGAAGAGGAGTGTCCTGAAAGGAACACTAGATCGGGTGAAAGTAAAACCTCAGCTCTAGGATTTAGCCTGTGGTGAACTTGGACAACACACCTGACTCTAGGCTTGTTTCTCTCTTTTTAAATTGGAAGTATAGTTTACTTACAATGTGCTAAATTTTGCTGTTCAGCAAAGTGGCTCAGTTACACACATAAATATATACTCTTTTTTACATTTATTTCTAATATGGTTTATCCGAGGAGACTGGATAGAGATCCCTGTACTATATACAGTAGGACTTTGTTGTTTATACATTCTAAATAGACCTGTTTCTTTACCAGTAAAGAACAGTGGACAGCTACTGCTAATGTTTCTTCCTATTTTAAAAATCACATGCTTCTAAAAGAGTATGCTTAAAAAAAATTCTTAATTAATAATTTTAAAATGCATATTAATATGTGAGGAAAATAACATTAAAAGACAAAGAAATTAATCCTAATTTACTGTGGGAAATAATACATAAACCTTATATTCCAGAACATAAGACACTTCAAAGTTTTGAGAAGTCAACATTTAAGCAATCACTTAGTCAAAAGATGGAGCAAGAACAATAAGCATTGAAAACATTTTTAAAATACTTAAATTCTATCTCAATATTGTGAGGAAAAGAACTCTCTTCTTTAAAATAATTATTGGGCCATGTTGAACACCTCTCCCTGATCAAAGATCTTGCAGTGCTTTTAAATGTCATTTAAGCATCCAACTGATTTTTAAATAACTTTATGTGGCCATATGCTAACTGTCCCAACTACCTCTTTCAAAAGGTAAATTACAGGAAGGTTAGGCAAGAACCTTCCCAAGAGTTTCAGGGAGCTTTAAAGGCAACAGGGAAAAACCTCAGAACAAGACGTCTGAGCACCAGAATGTTAGGAAAAGCAACTGTATTTGGTCGTAATTCGATACTGGCATTGATTTTCAATAGCCCGCTTTAGCACATTAAAAACGAATGAGTTTTCAATCCCGTTTCTGAAAATCCACTGCCACAGACGCCGAGATTTGTGAAATCTTGGACGGTTCAAGAGGCTGTTCAAAATCAGGTTTACAGGACACACAACACGATCGTTAAAAAAAAAAAATTACTCGAGCAACTCTGAAACATCTTTTTTTTTTTTTAAAGTAGCATAGCCTCCTCACCCCCACCCTCACGTGATACAAGTAACCACTAAATTACCAAATAATTTTCCCGGCCAGCCTGTGCTAACAAAAGAACGCAACAAGAGGGCTCACGTTCCGAGCCCAGGGGAAAGGCCGACCCAAAGAGGTGGGGTCAGCCGGGCCTGGCCCAAGCTGCCAGCACCCTTGACCTCCCGCCCGCCCTCGGCCGCCCCCTCCTCTCGGCCCGCTGCCCGCGTCCATCCCCCAGCGTCCCAGCCGCACGTCCCCATCTCTGCCCACGTCCCCCTTGCTGCCCGCTCCTCCCACCTCCCTCCCGCGCCGCAAGGCCCACACGTCCACGCCCCGATTGGCTCCTCTCTGGGGCCCACCACAGGTAAGATCCACTCGACCCCCTCGTCTTCCCACCCAACTATCCTCCCCAACCGCGAACCCAAGCCGTTCCCTGTCCAAGACCCCAGGAGGGAGCGGAGCCAGGTTTGGAGGAAGACAGAAGCGGCTACTCCTGACCGGTGACGGGAGCTGTCAGTCACCCGCACATCCTCGGTCTTGACCAATGGGCTGTCTTCTCCTCCCGCCCCCCGCGCGGAGCTGGCGGCGGCGACCCGAGCAGCTCCTCCTCCCCCATCCCCTTTACCGAGTCCGCTGGCCCAGCACTCACTGTTGAGGCCGGCAGGCGGTGGCAGAGACTGTTCGCCTTCCTCATAGTTATTGTTGTTGTTGTGCAGGGGCGGCGGCTGTTCTACTAAGTGAGACGACATTGTCAAGAGGCTGGAAGAGCTGCGGCCCCGCAGCAAGGACCGTCTCCGGTTCTCCGGCAGCAACACAACAAGCCGAGTCCCCCGCCCCCTTTTCCGCGCCTGCGCAGCCCCTCCCCCGCTCTGACGTCAGGACCCGCCCCGACCACGTGAGGACAACACAACAAGCGACGGGGCGGGGCGGGGGCGTGCCCAGGCGAGCAAGGTACGTGGAGACGCGGGAGTCGCGCTGACGCGCGCTCCAGGAATGAATTCCTGCGTGTCATTGACTGGCAGGATGGAGTGAGGTATGCGGCTGTAACTGGGATAGAGGATGAGGAGACGTGTAATGAGGAAGTGCAAGGCCCTCTGGTGCTGACTCGCAGGTCTCCCACACCTGCGAGATCAACATTGTTTTATCAAACCCGTGAGCATTTCTTTTTTAATTTCCGTAAGGACTCCAGATATTTACCTGTAAATAGGTATCGTGGTGACAGAAGGGAAGTGCCTCCCCGTCATAAATCTAAATTCAAGCTAGTGGAACACTGACATGCCAAATAAGGAACAATATAAGGCAGGCCAGATTTTTTAGTTGTTAAACAATTTTTTTAAAAAAAAACCATAATTACAAACAACACGCAATCAAATGGGAAATTTCAGGAAAACAGAAGAATATAATCACCTAAATCGCATGACTTGGCCATTCTGGAACAGGACATGTGAAACCTTGTTTCCTATAGGTGGGTTGACTGTAAACCATGTTCCTTGACCCTCCATCCACGTCCTATTTCCGTGTCTTTGTCGTTTCCGTGGTCTCATTTATGTGTGGCATCTGTTTCTCTCAGTCATTTGTTTTTTTAACCTTGTTTCACTATAGTGGGTTCTCTAGTGTTGGTCGCACAGTCGTGTCGGACTCTTTGCGACCCCATGGGCTGTAGCTCACCAGACTCCTATATTTATGGGATTCTCCAGACAAGAATACTGGAGTGGGTTGACATGCTCTCCTCCAGGGGATTTATCTGACCCAGGGATCCAACCCGGGTCTACTTTGCAGGCAGATTCTTTACCAACTGAGCCACCAGGGAAGCCCGGGATTTCACTATGCTGAGGCAATCGGATCTGTTATTTTTATGACTTGGGAATACCCTCACACCATGATTTTAAATCTATTCCCTAGAATTTTTTTCTAATAGGTTGCATTTTTATGCTTATACTTTAGTCAATCTGAAACTTATTTTTGTATGTTGTAAATTGCTTAACTTCAGTTCTTCACAGTTGATCCAACAGTATCTCTTAAGCCATCCTTTTGACACTGATTTGAGAGTACACCTTTATCCCATATTGAGTGAGTGAGTGGAGTCACTCAGTCGTGTCCAACTCTTTGCGACCCCATGGACTGTACCCTACCAGGCTACTCTGTCCATGCAATCCTCCCTGCAAGGGTACTGGAGTGGCTTGCCATTTCCTTCTCCAGGGTATCTTCCCAACCCAGGGATTGAACCTGGGCCTCCCGCATTGCAGGCAGACACTGTACCATCTGACCCACCAGGGAAGCCTTATCACATTTTAAATTTCCACAAAAACAGGAGTTCATTTCAGTGTCTCTACAATATATCTATCAGATAACTGTTAGAGAAAGTCTCTTCTCATTTGTCCTTTAAAATGTTTTTATGACTATTTAATTACTCTTCAGATGAACTCTGGGGGGATAATTGACATATTTACAAAATTGTCTTCCATTCAGATACTGATATCCCTTCATATTCTGTTTTTATTAAAATTTTTCAAAGTCATTCTTCAAAAAGATCTTAAACATTTCATCTTTTTAAATTTTGGTATGATCTTATGCTCATTAAAAAAGAAAACACAGAAGGTTTCCTTTTCTGTGGTCTTAAGTAGATAAAATTGAAATTACCTTTCTGTTTCCTCTAAGGAAACATTGAGATCTAGTGTTTTTAGCAGGGAGGGGGTAAGCTCTGGTTCTGTAGGATGTTACCTTTATTTTTTATGTTATTTGGAATCTGTTTTCTCATAATTATATTACCTAATGGTATATCTATTTTACTGGCTTTTTTAACCCAATTCCTTCTTTCTAACCATATGATCCTGAAATCCTTTTTTATTAGCTTAGTTGTTGTTTGGTCGCTAAGTCTTGTCCAACTCTTATATGACCCCACGGACCGTAGCCTGCCAGGCTCCTCTGTCCATGGCATTCCCCCAGGCAAGAATACTGGAGTAGATTGCCATTCCCTTTTCCAGGGGATCTTCCCAACACAGGGATCGAACCCCCATCTCCCACACTGCAGGTGAATTCTTTACCACTGAGCCACCTGGAAACCCTTTATCAGCTTACTTGAGATATAACTCACATACTCTACAATTAACCTTAAATGGGTTAATTAAGTTCACAGCTCAGTGTTTTATTTACAGAGTTGTTCAGCCATCTCCACAATCTAATTCTCAACTTACGTCACCTCCAAAAGAAACCCTATGCTCATTAGTTATGTCTGATTTTTTCCTAACTTCTTAGATTTGATACTTATTCATTATTTATTTGGGTGTTTAAGAATTTTTCTCTATTCAGAGTATGTTTTCGTACTACTTCTAGTTTGGTGATTTCTCTTAGGTTTTCTTTGGCGCCTAATTTATGGTTCCATTTGGGAAATGTTCCATGAATATTTGAAAAGAAGGTATGATTCCTGTGTTGAAGACAGCACATTTGATGTATCTGTTGGAACTACCTTAATAATTATTTAAGTTTTTTTATTTTTTCCTTTCTGTGGATTTCAAGAGGTCAGTATTTCACTCCCGATGTTTCTTTCTTCTATTTTGTTGTAATTGAGGCTTCACTATTTGATGCATAGATGTTCATAATTGTGTCTTTATCATTATGAATTGGTCCTAGTTTTGTCTTCAGTCCAACCTTGTCTGATATTAAAATCATGATTCTGGGTTTTTTTTTTTATTATTGTTGTTGATGTTTTTGTTTAGTTGCAACATTTTTATGTACTTCTACCCATTTTTTTTAACTTAAAAAAATTATTTATTTTTGGCTGTGCTGGGTCTTTGTTGCTGCACGGACTTTTCTCTAGTTGTGGCCAGCGGGGCTATTCTCTAGTGGTATGCAGGCTTCCCATACCGCAAGAGAAGTAGCTTTTCTTGTTGCAGAGCACCGGCCCTAGAGCACAGACTCAATAGTTGTGGCACAGGTGCTTACTTGCTACATGGGAAGTGGGCTCTTCCCGGACCAGGGATTAAATCCATGTTCCCTGCATTGGCAGGCAGAGTCTACCACTGTGCTACCTGGGAAGCTCAGCAGCTAAATTTATTGTGCACTTAATCTGAGCCAGACTTTATGACTATCTCATAGAGCTAATTTCCTATTTAATCCTCCCAACCATCTTAGGAGTTAGGTATTGTCACTACTTTATAAATAAGAAAACCATGACACTTGCTAAGTACCATACACATGATGATGGCGATACAGGTGGTACTTGGACCCAGAACCGTTTGCCAAGTACAGATTCGATACTTCTGCGCTCCCTCTTCATTTCCACACACGTGACTGAAGCTGCCAATGTTCTGATTATCGTCTTGCTTCTTAGCCTCCAAGGCACTGTCTAGAAAAATGGCTCCAGTTGAGCCAGATTCCTCTTTACCCAAATTTACAGAGATCCCACCTGGATACAGTCTGCATTATCCTAACCAGCTGCACTGCCAGGCATCCTTCCTTTGGAACTTTTTACTATAAATCACAGAGTTCCTACTTATCAATTATGGGCTTATGCAAAGTTCAGTATGTTAGGTGTAATTATTTACCATTTGATTGGTAGGAAAGAATGTTTCCTTTCAGACGCTAAAAAAAAAAAAAAAATGCTGCCTTAATGCTGGTATGTTAATCCAGGGAGTGATTTCTCTCAAATTATAGTTTTACTTTGCTTTCAAGGGAAGAACCATAATTGTATCATGCAGAAAATGTTTTGCCTTGATCTCTGAAGTTTTGTCAAGTTTGAGAACACTGCATTGTTATTAACTTCTGAAAAAATAAGGACCAAGTGATATAAATCAGTCAGGAAATGGACATTTTGATCCACAATTTTTGGAAATTGCTTTGGTACCTATAACACTGATAGCTAAATTAGGACCTCAACTTGTCTCATTATGTAACAAAGCTTTGTCTACAACCATTCTGGTGCAGACTGAATCCAGATTCTAAATGTAGTCTATTGGTCTAGAACTTTCACTTTCAGGAAATTAGCCTAACAAAATAATCAAAGAAGTCTGTCCATGGATAATCATTGCACTATTACTGGCCACAAAAAAAAAACATAGATAAAAAAATCTAGATGTGGCCAACAGAAAGTTAATTTAATAACAGTGGTACTTCCTTGTAATGTAGTCATGAAGAATGAAAATGTTGATCAGTGATGGGAAAATGTGGGCCATCGTGTGAAAAGAGTTTACAGAACAGTATCAATAGCCCTCCAACTTTTGTATATATATGAAAGCAAAAGAAATGATATCTGAGAAGGAAGAATTGTGGATAGACTTATTTTTATCTTCCTTTCCTGGCAGTCTATTAAAGTAGTGGTTAAGACTGTGGGCTCTGGAGATGACCCATTGGGTGGTATTTACTAGTCATGTGGCTCTGGGCAAATTACTTTGAGAAAATGTTAATTTGTGTAAAATCCTTAGTAAAGTGCAACTATCATCATCATTACCATTACGAAATGGAAATTAAGTAAAAATACATATGTCTTTAATCTCAGAGAGGCATCGTGTGTAAGACAGAGCAAAAAACATGGGACCCAGAGTAAGAAAAGCTGAGTCTGAGTCCAGGCTTTCCATTGATGAGATGCTGGGCAAGTCACATCCTCTCTGAGCTTGATCGAGGGTCAGCTAGGAAAAGTAATCCTCTTTCACCATCTCGGGGATGTAGTAGGCATCAAATGAGATGCTTATGAGACAAAACCATGATGTACTCTGCAAACCATTTTATTATTGTGTGTGTGTGTGTGTGTGTG